AATAATTATCATCTTTATCGCCCATCATCATCAACACCGTCATGGCCACAGTCATCATCACTAACTTCATTAATATCGACTTCGTCATCACGCCCGTCATCGTCATCATCGCTAGGTGTAAAACCGCGGAAATGTTGAACAGTGTTTAAAGCTACCACGTTTTCACCACCACTGATCTGTATGACTTGTGACGAATTGGAGGCGACTGTTGATATCATTGGTGCTTGATTCCAGGATGGGAGACCCTAGGAGATTTCATGCATTGAAAGCAAGAGCTTGAAAGCATGCGCACCACTGAGCTCACGACTTGGCGACGTGTCACTGCCTCCAACCGCTGAAGTGTTCCCAATCAGGGTTCCCCACTCAGGAAATGGCATTGACCAGCACAGTAATGCATGTCGTGTTTTGCTGGCAAGTCATTATCTGACGTCTGGCCATTTCCCATCTTTCATACGGTTGCGCGAAAAGAATTCCGAGGAATTCGACTGACTGTCATGCGAAGCACATGACCAAGACAGCAAAATCTGCGGAGTGGGATCAATTCATCTGCCGTTGTCTAAAACTACCCCATTAATCTCAATAGGCTGTTCACCGTTTGGTTTTTCAGGCGTTTGCGTTAGACATCTTACCCGCTGCCTACTGGCATACGTTTTTTGGAATCACTTAAGACTGGAGATCCCGAAGACATCCTATGGTCATTTAATCGTATCGGGGATGTCGGGTAGAGAATTATGAATGCAACCAGCACGGCTTCTTTAACATTTTGATATGTCTCATCCACGTGCTCCATACTAGTGTTGTTAATTTATATAGAGCATGGGTGAGGTGGCTTAGCTGGATACTACTGAGATGTTCGTCTGGTATGCTTCTTTCTGACTAGCGAGAGTCTGACGGAAAGCAAACTATCGGAAGCACCCAGGCTATGGTATGATCGTAATCAAGTTGTGAGTTCGAGAAGGAGCAGCAGCTTTGACTGATAGCTTAGCACCGGTGACTGACGTAATCCAATGGGGAGCTGGACTGGATTGATCAGGTTTGGAACGTTTTTGTTGGAAACGTATATAGAATAATTCAGTTTTGTGTCTCGGAAGTTGCATTCCATGGTTTGGTACTAAGATCAAGATTGCAACGACAATAAACTTCGCGGTCTATCACTGTTAGGCGCCTTGGTTTAGACGTGAATAATAATACTGTCTTGATGAACTTCATCTCTTTGATAATAGAATTATTGATTACTGGAATAGTCAGACCAAAGAACAGAAATGTGTCAACGGGCAAGTGAAAAGCAATGGTAGTGGTGTTGGGCTAAATACATCTTTCAGGCGTATTTGTGAGTGTATATTTTCAAGTTAACGCGAGACAAAGAAAATGGGCTAGCAAATCCAGAACGCATATCCTTAGGTACGTGTCAGACACTGAGGTAATACTCACGCCGCTACTGTAGTCAACACGGAGACTACAGTTTTCTCTATTACATTTCAAAGTGGGTTACAATAGACATGACGCGTTCTGAAAAGTTGATGGTTTGAATGATACTGGATCTCCTATCTGGCCGGCGCAACTCAAGGGGGAAAATGATTTCACAGTCAACTCCTGATTTCACTGTAGGACTTTACAAGCCACCAGGGAAAGGAAGAAGGCCTTTGCTGCGGAGTCATCTATTACAAAACGTCAAGTGAAGATTTACAAACTGTTGGACATTTGAATCTTGTTTACAGTAACTGAATATCTATATTCTCCTTGGAGGCGTCTTCCTGAACTTTCCTGGATATTCAATGACTTTTACTCAAACGCGAGCAAATACAAGTGAATGCGACTTCACAAATCCCGCAATAGATTTCACTTTTCAAGAGACGTGAAGCAGCTTTGCGATAAAACATACTACTCGCATGCCCCATCAGTAGCATCCACCGTTACACCAGCATCTCTGGAAAACTTCAGGATTAGGCTTAATAACGACAAATCTGGTCGGCATACCGAAGAAGCTGAGATTTCAGTGTCTGCCACTGTTACTAACAAATGAATCAGGGTCCGTACCAAGAAAGTTGTTGTACAAAACCTTTCTTGACCGGTCATGAAACGAAGCTGTTTATATACCGACGATGGTCAGGGTGTAAACCATAATATAAGCCGTATAACAATGTCATCTTTGCAAAGTTCAGCGTTCGGAATTGTCAGATGAAGTGCATCAACAGAAATGAAAAACTACACTCAAAGTAGCCACAGAGGAAGTATGGTGGACCATAGTAGCAATGAAAAGTACAGAAAATAAGCTGCCTAATTCAGCTTCCAACCGTCACGAATTGGTTCCGTAGATTTCCGCGTCCGGTATTAATAAGGTGAGTTCATGAAATAGTACAGTTTAGCCAATGTTAACAGGTCCCGACACACTGGTTATGTATAGTTGCATTTATGTGCCATATACGACTGAGAACTGGATTCATTTTCGGATTGACGGCTTTGATGAATGGAGGCCTTGTGCAAGCTAAGAAACTGGATCACAAAGCATAAGGATAGATTCGTCTGTACTATATATATATATATATATATATATATATATATATATATATATATATATATATATATATATATATATATATATATATATATATATATATATATATATATATATATATATATATATATATATATATATATATATGGTTTGAGACCTGATGAGCATTATGCAGAAGAAAATCAGACAGTAGAAGCAGCTTTGGTTGAAGGTGTGAGCAGTTTTTTCGTGTAATCAAATGCTATCAACGTAGAGTTTGAATTTTATCCCCAGAAACACAGCGGGCGGACATCGTTTTAAAGTTGAGGAATAAGTTCTTAAACGTTGTCATTTAACTTGATGGAATTCGGCTCATTCAACTATTCTGAAGTTGTTGGACGCATCCAGAAATGGGTCACCAATGGATCAACGTGCCTATACCGATTGCACGAGCTTCGTCAGAATGGAGAAGTGCTTCATAAAGAAGCATGCACTCTTTTTAGTGACACAAAACCCAAGGAGTTTTCATCTCTTCGAACAAGTAACCACGAGTAATACACTCTGTTTTGCAGCGTACAAAATACTCCTCATTTACTGATAAAGGTGCATTAAGTATTGAAGTTTCAAGCTTGAAGGACCGCATGTTAAGTGTGTGGCACTCCATACCTAGTTGTAATATCCTGCGTCATACACGGATGAACTGCGAGATTCTGTAATAATTGGTGTACGATCATCGGTGGCCAACTTAAGCTTGCCTATATCGGTACAAGGAATTCGTTATAAAATTTGATCAAGGTCAATAGGGTTACGGTCTCGTATAAAATAGAGTAAGACAAGCATTTCACTCCAGAGGAGTACCAGTATGCAGAATTTAAGAATTTATTTTAGGAGCTACTATATCACAGTTTTTTGGGTTCAAACGGTTGTCATGGAATGCAATGCAAATAGTCATGAATTCTATTGAGGACATGATGACCGACTGTTGAATCTGATTTCGGCACAGAGCCTTCGAAGGGCTCAGAATTTTAGTGCGAACACTACTGCTCTGTTCGTAAGGCATTCGGTCTCAGATATTTTGCTCGGGTTGCTTGAATTTCCTGTCGTTTCTTAATTCTATTGACCGTGCCTTTTGACGGTTTTTATCTCAGCTAGGCATGTCCGAAATTATTATTTTGCCCTTCAGATACAGTATGAAATGAGATAGGACGACCTTGATTGACACCATCTTTTCTGACTAGTGTTTGAATGCAGAATGCGAAAATTCCGCTGCCAAGGGACCAGTACTATGATTCGGTATCTAGGGGAACGCAGGTATAGGTGTCTGTGTCTTCAACTTTGAAACGTCCGTGCCTCTCATCCCGTAGTCATCACGTACGATGACCTGATATCCACACTTTCAACTAACAGAGCACGGAATAACGGTCAATGAGCTAGCTTGTCCTTGTGTGACTGAGGTGAGGTTCACTAGCGTTTGTCACTACGTGATACGTCATTGTATTCCGTTTAGAATGTAACAAGAAGAAAGTCATGGACTGAGTTATAATAGAAAATGAACACCGGGTGGGAATAACACAGTGCATTGTAATTTTAGTGCCAGGACAAGTTGAATACAGGGTGATTTGTTGCCAAGTCTTGACTCAAACAAGGTTCAAAAATATGACGGTTTCGAATATGAAACAATAGTAATAATTGTTGGGCAGCCATGTAACTGCGTTACTGTAACCACCAGTTTATCTTGCTTCTCTGGACCATCGAGGTAAAACCAGCCTAGCAAAGTGCTTATCGGTGGAGTGAGGGACATCGAACTTTCAATCGAAAATCTGTGAGGTCAATCTATGCTGAAAAACAGTGAAACACTGTACAGTTGTTTCTTTATTGTTGGGAGTAAGCAGCAGCGTGTATCTCACTAATCTCTATGGTTGCTCGAACCCACGACCTCCCGGTTAGTCATTGAACATTACTGGGTGAAACGCATCCACGGGCGACTTATCAGCAGTGTGATTAACCCGTACTTAGACCGTGTATAGTACCACCCATCTTTTAGTCACGTAATTCACATCGCTTTCAAACCGAATTACCAGTCGGGTACATCACATTACATTCAGGAGAGATGCATGAATCTATTGTTCAAGTCAAGCCAACATGTGGCCAAAAACAGGCCAAGTTGGCTAGCTAATACTTGTGGTTTTTCAGGTTGAAAGTATATATCCAAGAAAAGCTTGTCCGCCAAGATGATGGGTAATTAGTTAGATGAAGGTAACCGATATTACGGTTGGCTTATGATTAACTTAGTCGTAGAGCAGAAATATTTAAGGAATATGATGAAACTAGAGGGGATCTGGAGACTGAAGTGCACAATTCTTATTCTGAGGAGACCTTTAATCTCATTCTGATTAGCACTTCTGGTAGGTGTTAGCAAATTAGAATTTGTATGGCTGTATTTTCCTCTACTTTTTTACTGAGCAACAAGCCAAGTAAAGATAAATTGAGAATCGCTACTACTTACCCGTGTGAGTGACAGGTCCAAATGCGGTTGCTTTGTTCTGTGATGAACAGTTCCAACGGCGATATTTGAATTGGTTCTGGCATTCGTAAATCCCAAGTTTGGCTCCGATACTGATGATGGGCATGTGATCGAAGTACCGTTGACAGAGACGAGTTTGGGAATGTGTGAGCCCCTGTACTCGCACACATAATGGCCTCGGGGCAAGTAAATAGGCTGGGGTCCGATGAATCGACTGCCAAGATAAAAGTCCCAAATTCCTGTGTATGGAGATGATAAAAGTATGGGTTATTAATTATAGTAGCTTTCATGTCGTCATTGTTACGCACAAACTTCTGAACAGGCAGCCGTGAGTTTCTCAGTTAGGGTAACTCTTGGTCTCTGTGAGTGTCGCATGAATTCCAGAACAAAATAATATACGATTACTGTTAGTGATAGGAACTCGGGGACCACAACCATATCATGATCCCAAAGTTTGAGCGATCAGTAAATGAACCGTCGAAGATTTCAATCTTATAAGTAGTGTCACATGAAGAAATATGTTTCGACATTTTGAATAGTCTTCAAACAGAAACAAAAGGCGGTCTTTTGGTAAGGCGTGCAGATAAAGTACCACAAACAAGAGTCAAGCTTTTGGTTAAAACCAATTTAATTTTTAAGTACGTGAGTATCTGTGTATACGTCCAGTTTTAAGACAAACAGGAGATGGAGCTGATGCAAATTTGGGGTAAATGCCCATCTGACCAGCCCGCTGGTTGGCTATCCTGGGATTTTTCCCATTCTCATAAGTGATACCATGTAATACAAGTATATATCTTCGATTACTGTTTTCAAATTGGGTGAACTGTCTATTTTACGATAATCCAAAAAAAACGATGACTATCTGCGGGAAATCATATTTTCAGTTTATCCTTTCATCCCCATTATCCAAATGCAATAAAATTTCAAAATTCCTAATCAGCAAGTGTCTCAGTGACGAAAAATTTCTATCCTCGGTAATGGTCTATAACTATCCACCCTGAGCTGCAGCTGGTCCTGAGGGCATCTATAACCCATTTACGTTTGTTGGAAATCTAAAGTCGAGTTGATGAAATGAAAGACCTCCATTGTGCTTCGACCAGATTTTGTTTGATGCGCAACATGGAATGTTATGACATCGTTTATAGTGGTCAATCTCGGTGACTTGGTCGGTAATACTAACGAAGACCAAGGTTGTATTCGTTTCCAACCGGTGTTTGACGGTATTACCAGTTCCGTCAAATTTTCCAGGCATAGCTGTGCGAAGAGTCTCGAGCATTATGCTCAGTTGCCATCAGGTAATCCATACGTCTAACTATCACAAGAAACCGTCACCTAGAGTATGTTCATCTTTTAGACTGTTCCGAAAATTCCCATTTATAATAATAACACAGATGGGATGATGAACATATTCTCGGCAAGTTTTTTCAAGTCATACAACTACAAAGGTTAAGAGGGCAGTATTTAACATAGTTGAATGAGTATGGTTTAAATGGACAGGAAATCGATTGAGACGACATTGGCTACCTATCAAAGAACAATTAGTTCAGGTCACCAATAGGATAACTTGAGCTAGTCAGTGCGGGAGTGCTGTAGTTGTGTGTTCAGCACAATGTGCATGTGTGAGGGGAGGTTAGTTGGACCATGGTAAATACAACACACGAACAAAACGCTTTTGCCGACAAAGGATCGGGTCGCGATGTCGTATGGCGATAGCTTCAGCCACTGCGATTGTGCGCTGCTGTACTGATCTGGGTTGATTAGCCGGCGCCTTTTAAACAACGCGGAAGCTTTGGCTGGGTATCATGTTGTGTGCAGTGTCAGTTAAACGTTGTACTACAGAGCTGGTTATCGTCCTTCTAATTCCAGAAGCTAGCCAAGGTGGATTGTGTTCCTTCATTCTTTGGCCGAGTTGCCTAGTCGTGCGTCCGATGTATTTCGCTGCACAGCAGCAAGAGAATGAGTATACTAACATATTTTGGGCGCGGACAGGCACTCTATCCTTGAGATTAAAGGGGTACAAACGATTGCTGGTGAACCAGGTTCGAGGTGTTGCGGCCGGGAAAAATTGTTCAGTCTGGTGGAAACTCTTTTATTCAGTAGATCGGCCGATATATCTCCGTTAAACGGGAGGCTAATATAAGCTGGTTTCCTTCCAGCTGTGGCTGTGGTGGTGTTTGCTTCCTTCCTGTTCAAATGGTTTGTAATACACTTGTCGGGGAATGCATTGTCTCTCAGGACGTTGGTGAGAGTTCGGAATTCTAGTTCCAGCGCATCATCAGAGCATATTTTCTTCGCTCTGTTAGTTAGGCTATGAATCAGGTTCCGTTTCTGCCTTAGTAGCACGAAGCTGCTAAAGTTAATATATTGACCGGACCAAGTGGGTTTTCGGTATACCGGTCGTTTCAGCGTACTATCGTGACGTCGTTCAAGGCCAACATCTAGGAAGTGGAAGAAGTTGTCGGTTTCTCCTTCCGAAGTGAACTGAATGGCACTGTTGTCCTTATTGGACCGTTTTTGGAGCGATTCCAATTCGTCTTCATTGTTAACAACAGCGAAGACGTCGTCTGCGTATCGGCAGTAATACTGCATATTCTCTATGTTAGCATTTAAGGTACCATTTTCAGGTCTACTGAGGAACATGTCGGCTAGCATTTGGCCCAGTGGTGAGGCCATGGCAACGCCGTCAATTTGACTGTAGAGCATGCCATTGAACAGTAGTTGCACATTCAATGTGCATCGCAGGAGTACACGCAACTCGTTGGCTGGAATAGGTAACTGTAAATTGTTTGCTTCTATGTAGTTACATAGGTAATTAATCGTTTCAGTTAAGGGGACGTCAGTGAACAGTGAAGTCAAGTGCAATCAACACATGAACGAATCTTTCAGTCCTAGGTCCGTTATTGAGTCCACGAATTGAAATGTATCTCGCAAGCTGTATTGACACATTTGTCATCGTATTGGTTCAAGCATTTTGACGAGCCAGTGTACGATTTGGTGATTGGGCGAGTTGTGCATGTCTAGGATTGGCCTCAGCGGCAGTTGGGTTTATGGATTTTTGGCAAGCCGTACAAGCGAGGCGTTGTTGACCCTGTGGGTTCAACTTTCTCGTAGGTTGTCTTAGAGCTCAAACCGTTTGCTTTAAGGCGTTTCAGATATGTCACCAGCTGTTGCTCTATTACGAGCGTTTTATCTTTGTCGTTGGCTGTCTGGCTGAACTTGGTTGTGTCAGTCAGAATGTCCGTCATTTTTCGTATATAGTCAGTTTTGATTATCACGACTATTCCGCTACCTTTGTCGGGGCGACTGATAAGAATGTCATCACGAGCACGTAGCTCCCTCAGTGAATCTCTGTGTTTCTTTTTTATCAGGTATTGACGTTTGACTTTATAACGGGTGTATTGATAACAACAATTTACTAAGTCCTACTTGAAATGTTCTAGGTTGGTAGAACTAATTGGAGATAGTTGTCGGAGTTGATCATGGACACTTTCAAATTGTTTCGATACTAAGGTGACTATCGTTATGGTGGGGATACAGATTTTGGGCCCTAGCAATAGAGCTTCGATCAGAGTGGTGTCAAGGGACACAGCGGATAAATTATGTACACACCTTTCGGGGTTTGCTTAAAAATGGGACTGTGGATTGTAGTCATCGAGGCTTGAATTCAACATAGTTCGTTTCTTAGCTGGTTCTTTTTCGGAAATTTCACATAAGTACCGAGCAAACTCCGTACGTTCGCCGTTCGTTAGGTCATCAACGTATGTCTGTCTCTGGCTGATTAGTCTCTGTAGTTCTGGTGCTTGGGTGCAGTAGGTGTCTATTTGGCTCCAGGCATTTCGTCTAAGCGAGATTGAGTCAGGGCGCACACGACTTGGTCCGGCCGATCTACTGAATAAAAGAGTTTCCACCAGACTGAACAATTTTTCCCGGCCGCAACACCTCGAACCTGGTTCACCAGCAATCGTTTGTACCCCTTTAATCTCAAGGATAGAGTGCCTGTCCGCGCCCAAAATATGTTAGTATACTCATTCTCTTGCTGCTGTGCAGCGAAATACATCGGACGCACGACTAGGCAACTCGGCCAAAGAATGAAGGAACACAATCCACCTTGGCTAGCTTCTGGAATTAGAAGGACGATAACCAGCTCTGTAGTACAACGTTTAACTGACACTGCACACAACATGATACCCAGCCAAAGCTTCCGCGTTGTTTAAAAGGCGCCGGCTAATCAACCCAGATCAGTACAGCAGCGCACAATCGCAGTGGCTGAAGCTATCGCCATACGACATCGCGACCCGATCCTTTGTCGGCAAAAGCGTTTTGTTCGTGTGTTGTATTTACCATGGTCCAACTAACCTCCCCTCACACATGCACATTGTGCTGAACACACAACTACAGCACTCCCGCACTGACTAGCTCAAGTTATCCTATTGGTGACCTGAACTAATTGTTCTTTGATAGGTAGCCAATGTCGTCTCAATCGATTTCCTGTCCATTTAAACCATACTCATTCAACTATGTTAAATACTGCCCTCTTAACCTTTGTAGTTGTATGACTTGAAAAAACTTGCCGAGAATATGTTCATCATCCCATCTGTGTTATTATTATAAATGGGAATTTTCGGAACAGTCTAAAAGATGAACATACTCTAGGTGACGGTTTCTTGTGATAGTTAGACGTATGGATTACCTGATGGCAACTGAGCATAATGCTCGAGACTCTTCGCACAGCTATGCCCAAGCGAGGCGTTGTTGACCCTGTGGGTTCAACTTTCTCGTAGGTTGTCTTAGAGCTCAAACCGTTTGCTTTAAGGCGTTTCAGATATGTCACCAGCTGTTGCTCTATTACGAGCGTTTTATCTTTGTCGTTGGCTGTCTGGCTGAACTTGGTTGTGTCAGTCAGAATGTCCGTCATTTTTCGTATATAGTCAGTTTTGATTATCACGACTATTCCGCTACCTTTGTCGGGGCGACTGATAAGAATGTCATCACGAGCACGTAGCTCCCTCAGTGAATCTCTGTGTTTCTTTTTTATCAGGTATTGACGTTTGACTTTATAACGGGTGTATTGATAACAACAATTTACTAAGTCCTACTTGAAATGTTCTAGGTTGGTAGAACTAATTGGAGATAGTTGTCGGAGTTGATCATGGACACTTTCAAATTGTTTCGATACTAAGGTGACTATCGTTATGGTGGGGATACAGATTTTGGGCCCTAGCAATAGAGCTTCGATCAG